TGGGTACCCCGATCCCAACCTGGAGCCGCGATTGCCCCGCTACCCGGCCCGACCTCGCTCGTGGCCGCGCAGCCACCCGGGCTCTTCCGCTCCCGCCAGACCCTGCCCCGGAAGTCCTCCGCAAATGTGTCTTCTCCGGCGCCTGAGACTGGGGTCGCGCTGTTGGTTCCGATGCGCTCTCTCGGCCCTTGGGTGGCTGGGACCTTGCGTGGCCCTGGAAGCCTTTCGTCTCCGACTAGAGTCTCGCGGGACACGCAGCCCATTTACATGTCGCTGTGCCGTTCATTCAGTAACTTGTCCTCGGTGAGGCTTCAGCGTCCAACGTCTGGGCCTGGTTTGAGTTCAGCCCCACTTCCCCCGTGTAGGATGTTGGGTGAGCCCCTTGGTTCCAAATGTACCTCGTTTTTTTTTCACGTATAAAAATGATAATACCTCAAGGGCTGGCTGTGAGGGTTAGATGAGCTCTCAAACCAAGTCCCGGCGCATGATGATTAGTCTTTACTATCCACACTCAAGTGTGCCTTTTACTGTCTTTTGGCAAAACCGAAAGGCTCATTCCTCAACATCTGGTAGAGGAAGTTGTGATAAAAAAGAAAAAAGTAAAAATTTGATACAGTAAAACTTTGAGTCCATACAATTCAGTGACAAAAATGAATTGTCAACATGCTGCAGCGTGGATGAACCTTATGCTTAGTGAAAGAAGACAGTCACAAATGACCACATATTGTGATTCTATTGACACAGATTCTCTCATCAACCAGACCCTACTCAGGCTGCCTTATCAGAAAACATGCTGAACTCTTTTTCGTCTAGGCCTGACTTTTGGACTTCCCTGTTCCTTTATGCATTGTCCAATTTTAGCAAGAATTATGATAAGTCAGTTTAGCCAGAATTCTCCATTCTTGGTATTTGATCACTCCTGATATAGGACTGAATTCCTCACCCCCCCCCACCATACCCTTTTGATGTCTGATCACCCTGGTCAGACTTCAGCAAGAATCTTGTTAGGTCAGTTTGGATAGAATCTGAGGGAAAATGCTGGGAGAGAATGTGAGGAGAAGAAAATAAATAGAATTTCCTCTATTAGGCAAACCACCCTTGAGCATATAAATATTTGGCAGAGTTTTTATTTCCTAATCTCCAATCATTACCTGAAAAGGGTCTTACCAGGCTAATGTCAAGATGTTGGAAGGTTTGTTTGCCTTCTAGAGGCTCTAGGGGAGAATCCAATGCCTTGTCTTTTCCAGCTTCTAGAAGCCACCTGCATTCCTTGGCTCATGGCTTCCTCCATCTTCAAAGCCAGCCAAGTAGCATCTTCAAATCTCTCTCTGACTCTGACCTTCTCTCTTGCCTCTCTTTTTCACTTATGAGGACCCTTATGATTATACTGTACCCACCCAGATAGCCCAGGAACCTTATTTAAAATCCTTGATTTAATCAATTCTGTGCAGTCGTTTTTGCCATTTGAGGTAACATATTCACAAGTTCAGGAATTAGGTATAGACATCTTGGGGGCTTTTATTTAGCCCACCACACTACCTAACCAAGGCAGCCACCCAAAAGGATGCCTTTATTATAACAAGGTAATAAAATACAGATGGATCAGATAAAATTCACCCTTCCTTCTGGAAACCAATTCAAAGTACATGGACCACCTCTCCCAGGATCATCTCTTCTTTCCAACACCACAGCCAAGTGATTTACCCACTCTTTACTGGAGGGTAGCCATGGGGGGGGGAGGGCAGACTTCTAAAATGCAGCCAGAGGCAGAAGAGTAATAAAGTGAAGGCTGAGAAAGCCCTGTGAAAAAACTCAGAGCCATCTTGCAGGGCCACACCATGGGAGAGGCAACAAGTGTGCTGTTTGATGAGAAAGGGGACACTGGAGTTAGACTGATTTGGTTCAGATTTTGGGCAAGTTCTTCAACCTCTGTATATCATTTTTTTTCATCTTTAAAATGGGAATGATAATAGCATTGATGCATGTAAGAATACAATGGAATAATTCATATGAAGTACTTAGAATAACACTGAACATATTCTTATAATTAAATAGGCATATCAGTATATATTGCATTGCATTACATTACATTATTAATGGAATTTATTAGTAGTGATACTAGTAGTAGAAGTCTTGCTAACAAGTCTGAGAGGCATAAACTAGCAGCATGGGAATCTGTCAGAGCCATTGCTCAGGGTCTGTCTCAGAGTTAGACAGTTTATTCCAGTTCCATTTGAGGCCTCTGTGCCAAGACAGTCCTTTTTTACCTTCTGGTCTGCTTGACTCTATGGAATGGTTAAAATGCAGTGACCATGCAGCCAAAGTTTCTGGAACCTCAGATAGGGCTGGAGTTTTTCTATTGCAGTAAGACTGGCCAGGTGATTTGTCATACCTGATTTCATGTTTAGAGTCTTTACTGAACTTTTTTTATTAAGCTGTATATCCTAGTTAAAGTCATATTTGAGATGAATAATTAGTAAAATGACAAATATCATCTAAAATTTTCTTTTCATCAAACCGATTTTTAAAAACATAAAATAAAATAATGAATTTAGCTTGAATTACAAGCCCTTAGTAACTGAATCATGTTGACATTTCCCAGATGTGTTTGAAGTGCATTCATCTTTTATTTCATTCTGCCTAACCAGGTTCTCCAAATGTCTTCATGTCTTAAAAGTTTTGCTGCAAAGAGATTTAATAAGGTAAACACATACCCTTGAAAGCACAATTTATCACTTTTTTTTTAGTTTGTTCGTTCCTGCTGTTGATGGCAGTTTCAGAATCCTCCCCACTGCACTCAAATCAAGATGATTGCCGTGACATTGGACTATATGAAGAATCTAAACCTTAGAACATTTCATTTCAAAGTTCCAAGATCTTTTAAGTAATAACCAATATTCATATGAAGCTTCTCCCTCTTCAAAGTACCTTTCCATGTAGCATGTCATTCACATCACACCTTCTTGTGTTGCGGTGGCAACAGCGTCATTGTATAGGATGGACTATGAGTCTCAGGGATTTGCTGAGACTCAGCACCAGGGGCTGGCTCATTCCGAATCTTGTGCTCTCTCAGGTCACTCCGTTGAAGGGACATGCAGTGTTCCTGGCTATAGTAAAATTACAATTAATAGGTCCCTGGACATTCTAGATAATATCACTTCTAATTTCAAATGTTGTTGCTAGAAGTATTTATAAGCCATACCAGTTTAATTTAATGAGTTACTAAATGTGGTAGAAGAAATATAATAATGAAAGATTTAATCTGAGAAACATCATTCTAAGATCGGTGATAATAATGTAGCTGTAGGTTATAGTAGATATGGAAGGGGGAAAAGCACAAGAATGAATTGGATCACTGCTATACACTGACTGTTTGTGTCTCCCCCTCCAAATTCATATGTTGAAACTTAACAAAGAATCAGGTATTACTAACACTTGCTCCTGATCTGTCCTCGGAAAAGTGGTCTATTGTTTGTCCAGCAACTCCAGGCCAGCCCCAGCCAGGCCAAAGAGCAAACTTGTCAGCTATCCAGAACCACTTTTTCTTCAGTGGCCACAGTGGCATTAAGAGGGTGGCATGGCCTCCCTTCACCTTGGACTCTCCATTGCTTAGCAGCTAGACACACATACCTGAGCCCTCACGGGTCTTGGGTACCAAGGCCCAGCCAGCTACTGTGTGGCAAGTTGGCTACATTGGACTCCTACCATGGAAGGAGCAGCTCCTTTATCTTTCTAGAATAACAACTTAATCTGGGTTTTCTTTCTCTGACTTTCATGTTTTGTCGGATCACCTTTGTGGACTTTGTAACCACCACTTTGGTCTTCATGGTTCTAATTGAGGATGAGAAGTAAAACAGTAGCCAATGCCCACGGGGCTCATCGGACTCACTATATACAGGGATAAGCACATTATTTTAGGCAGCAGCAGTTTAAGAAGATGTATAATCACTGCCTTCAAAATGGGTCAATGAAGAATCATGTATAGAAAAAGAAGAGGACATTGATATCATCGATCAAGTCACGTATTATATTAGACAATAATAAATTTTCATCCAAGGGGTTCTAAATCCTTAACCGATGATTTTTTTGGTGTGTTAACTAGTCTGAAGTCAGTCAAATAGTGGGGAACAGCTTCATATTTATATTTTTATGCAATGCTAAATTTTGTGAAATTGCATATGTATAAATCTCTGTTTTGTTGTTTTCATTTTTTGTTTGTTTGTTTTTTACGATTCCTTCCTTAAACTAGTCCACGAAACATAGTCAGGAAAACAAGACATGGGTTTTCAGCATGACGAGAAAGTTAAATATCTCAAGTAATTTCTCAAGAATTTAAATTACTCTGAAATAAAGAGGGAACAATAATCTTGTTCATTGGATTGAGAAGTAATGTGATATTGTCACCACAGGAGAGTAATTTAAGAATTGGTAGACCCCTGTTGGCTGAAATTGGAAAACTATTGAGGCTTTAAAAGGACATAAATAATTATTAAGAAGTCAATGATTTGTAAACATCTCCCTTGTCATTTTACCATGACAGTTCTACAAATTTGAAAATAACCTCTATGGAAATATCAAATCTCTATTTACTGTTCGTTTCTCCATGTCCTGCTGTGCTTACTGCAGGCAGGCTACTAAGGGTCTGCACCAGACACCGTCTTCTCAATGACTCATTCGCATGTATTTTTTAGTCTCCTGTGTCCACTGTTGTGCCAGGAGCTGAGAAGACAAAGGGAGGATGGAGCTGCAAAACCTGCAGCCCAGCAGGGGGCAGGCAGTGAAAGAAGCACCTTACAGAGTGTTAAACATCATAAAAGACCCTGGGAATGGGGTCTGGCGAGCCTGGAGGGGAGATTTGGGTGGGAGGGTGAGGGAGGTGGGGGCATAAATTCCCATGAGAAAGGTGCCCTCCTTGCACCAAGAAGCAGAGAACATTCTTATCATCAGAGATGGGAGTCAATGCAAGATGGATCTCCACAAACAAACCTAAAATAACCCTTATCTTCCATTAATTTTCCCTATAAATTTCCTAGTCACTGTCCCATAATTTACTGCCCCCAGCCCCAAGCCCCTTTGTCTTGTCACATCCCCACAATTTGTCATTCTTTGTTTTAAAAGGTATATAAGCTTCTGGGTCTAATGGTTTCTTCGGGTTTTCATTTTTCCTTTTGAAGACTCCCATGTACACATAAAGATATTAAATAAATTTGTATACTTTTCTCCTGGTTATCTGTCTTATTCATGTCAGTTCGATTCTTAAGCCAGCTATAGAACATAGAAGGGTAAAAGGAAGTTTTTTCCTCTCCTACAGCTTTTACTCCTACTGCTTCTTAAATATGATTCTATTAAAATTCTCGGGGAATTTAATATTTTCCCAAATTTAATTTTATAATTTGGAGAATTGTATTATAAAACAGCAGCCCATAAAACTGTACTGAAGAATTGCTGATTTCAGTGAATATAGCACTTGGTGATTGGATACATTCTTCTTGACCAGGTCTCAGTATTCTCGGTTGCTTAGTACATATTGATTTAAGAACAATCAATTATTTTGCTACAGTTTACAATTTGATGAAGTTATTGGAGGGGAAAAAAAACCATGAGAAAAAGAGTGCTAATTCGAGCTGGAGTTGTGGGCTCCTTAAAATTTCTCATCAAACTTGAAGAAAGAGAGAAGATCTTAACTTAGAGTGTCCTGAGTGTCCCTGAGTAATTTGTAAGTGCTCTGTAATTTGCAGCTCTGGCCTTCCTGGTTTCTTTTGTCCCTGGAGTTGTAGCTGCAGTTCCAGTGAACACCACTAGTGGGCACCACTTATCTGCGCATCCATTGGTTTTTCTTTTAAGGTGTGTAGGGGACTATTGCTGGCCTGAGGCAGTTCATTTTTGTGGAAGTCCCTGACCATACAGGTCAGGTTAGGGAAATCAGAAGGTGGTCATGAGGTTTAGGTCATAGAGCCTGACAACCAATGAGGGACCCAGTTTAAGAACTACTAGAGTCCTTTTGAGTTTCAATTGAAATTGTTAAAGATTTTGTTTACTTTGGTTCAATCATCAATTCAAATGGAGTCTGCAGCCAAGATGTCAAGAGAAGGCTGAGACTCAGAAGAGCAGCACTGGGAGAATTAGGAAAGATCACCAAGAGCAAAGATGTGTCATTAGAGACCAAGTGTAAGATCATCCACACTCTTGTATTCTCAATTACTATTTATAGCTGTGAAAACTGAACAGGGAAGACCAATAGGAAAATAATTGATTCGTATGAAATATGGTGTTGGAGGAGAGCTCTGGGGATACCCCAGAACACTAGAAAAATGAACAAGTGTATCCTAGGGCAAATTAAGCCTGAAACATTGCTGGAGGCAAAAATGAGAAAACTGAAGCAGTCCTACTTCAGGCACATCATGAGAAGGCAGAGTTCTTTGGAAAAGACAATAATGCTGGGAAAAGAGAAGGCAGCAGGAAAAGAGGAAGATCAGATATGAGATAGATTGACTCCATAAAAGAAACCATAGGTATGTGTCTACAGAAGCTGAATTGGGCTACTGAGGACAGGACAGTGTGGATGTCACTCATTCAGAGTCACCAGGGGTTGGAGCTGACTCAGCAGACGCACTGGGTTCTTTCTGTTTTAGCTTCTGTTTTGATGGTCTCTCCTATTTGCAGTTTTCCCTCATCTATGGGTTACATAGATGAAAATTAATGTGGTCCTTAAAGAAGTATTATGATGTGCCTACAGTATTGTAGGACATTATAGTTAATGATGATAGGAGAAGACAATTAAATCCTACACACAACAGTCCTAGTTGGTAAATACCAGAAGCTATGGCAGTTTTTTGAGCAAAACAAGGCCTCACTGAGTGGCTCAAACTCAGCATGACCTGGGATAGGCTCATCTATAGACCTGAAAACACTACAATTTGCTGTTTAAAAGTTATCTTCAAAATCAGTTGCTCTTGTTTCCTGGTGGTTAAAGCCCATGCCACAGTTTCCAGTTTTAATTCTGTTTCAATGTGCCCCCTTGGTGTTCTGTACAACCCAGTTTGTGGAACTTGACTTTAGCTCACAAGAGTTTGCTTTCTCTGCTGGGCAAGTTTAACCTCCAGGCCAGACAACCATTTCTGAAAGTAAGAAGTTATAGACCTTCAGCACTGGGAGGGCCTGGATACTCTATCCAACTGGCCACATCTGCATTTCTGGAATATTCCCTCACATTCAAGACTCTTAACTGCTTGGCAACCGGAGGGACCTACATGTACTCCGAGGCCGAAAGAAAGGAGACTGCCCTTTATAATGACCTTCTTCTCCATTTGGGATACAGGGGATACAGGAGTCCCAAGGGCAGCCTTATATGGTCCATTCAGGCACCTTTGGCTGATTTAGCAACAAGCAAGAGAGCAAGTAATGTAAAAGCTGACAGAATTGGCCCAAAACAAACTTTGGAGTTTCTGGCAGGCCCATATTTCACTGTCCTTGAGAAAAGCGAGAGTGGCCACTACATTGTAAAGCTCTCGCTGGGGGCTGGGTGGTACAGAGAAGGGTCCCAGGGTGAAGATGCGAGGGGATGTTCACTCTCAGGCCCCTGAGTGCAGAGTCAGGCCCCACATGCCCTGAGGGAAGCACCTTCTCCATTCTGCACAAGGCATCTCCTTGCCTCACCCAGTGCTGGCCTGGGCCACAGCACCCAGCTCAGCATGGCACAGCATGGTTCCCCTTCTCCTCTCCCACCTCCTGCTCTTCCATCTTCTCCCTTACCACTCCTCCTTCTCTGCCCCTGCCCTACTGTTCCTGTTTATTTTATTTATGGTGATTTAACAGTATTTCAAAGTTCTACACATTTAAACTAATTTGATGAACAATATAATATGGGACAAACACATCTTTTCACCCGAAAACATACCTGGTATATACTTTGCTTTTTCAAGTTATCTTCAAAATCAGAGCTCCTGGATGGCCACTTTTCACCCTAAGGGGCATTAACGGAATAAGACCCATTTGCTGACTAAATACTCTCCGAGCCAAGCGTAAAAAAAAAGTCTGTTTTCCAACAGAGAGTGCACTTCTTGACTATGTGGAATAATTTGGCAGTTGTCATAAACTGTCAGCTCTCTGGGAAGTGGTAGGTGGAAAAAGAGAATAATGTTCTCATGACCAAACAGCAAAATTTCCAAGTCTGTGATAGATTGTTTAAATTTCATTACATCAGGGTTTTTCAGGACAAGGCTGCAGAGACCAGTCTAAAATACAGTTCTGGGAGTAATGTGGTCATTGGGGTGAGGATCAAGGCACAAAAACACTCATTCATTGTACAGTCAGAAAGTGCTGATGTCAGCCCTAAATTGCCACTGTTAAAAGGAGGTGCAGATATGAGGGCTGAAAACCAAGTATACAGGTGCTATGAAAAGAACATTTTTCTAGCAAATTTAGCACTGATCTAGACTCTTAACACAGTATTGTGCCCATTTTGAGGCTTCACAACAGGAAGTGGCTGTGGACAACATGGAGAGGTTCTGAAGAGCACCCCTACAATGCACCGAAGGCCAAGCGCCCAGTTGCAAGCCAGGTTCTAGCACTACCTTGCTCTGTGGATGAGGGTTTCAGAAAGGTTGAGTAATCTGCTGGGAGTCACTCAGTGAATCAGCTGAAGAGTCATAATTCACATCCAGGTCTGTCTGACTCCAGGTCCATGATTTTAAACACCACTGATTAACAGGCCTGCCTGTAGGAGCAGTGAAGTATCTGGGATGATTGTGTTTAGATATGGAAACCTAAAACCAGACTGGCTGTTGATCTTCAAGTATGTTTTAAAGGCATGAAAGTAGCTTCTTGTTCTTCTCCTTTATTTATTTATTTATTTTTTAGTAGAGAATTCAACCTTAATCTATAGCACGTGACCTTATGAGGGGTTCACAGTAAGGTAGAGACCATGTCTGTCTCCCTCATCTTGAGTCCCAGGCTGCCCTAGTGCCTGGCACATACACAGAGTTTGTTGAATAAATGAATGAGGGTGTGTATGAGTCTTTTAATCATTTTTATTATTATTTATTATTATTTATGCCTACAGCACCTGGTCTTCCTAGGCGGTCTCCCATCCAAATACTAACCAGGCCCGACCCTTCTTAGCTTCCGAGATCAGACATGATGGAGCTTGTTCAGGGTGGCATGGCCGTAGACCATGGACCGTGGCTCCACCCGAGCACGAACCCAGGACTTTCTGCATGTAAAGCAGACGTGCTAACCGCTACACTATGGAACCACGTCTCTTTTAACCATTTTTTTGAGACTATAAGATAGATGTTCATTGTTGTGGAATAGTTTAAGCATGATCATACCTGGGCATGACGGAGAAAATAAGTAGTTTCTGAGACACTCTCAGCTTCACTTAAGTACTCTAACAAAGACCCACTGATTTCCTTTCACATCTTAGGTTATGTGTTCTGGAATCAGGTTGTAGTGGAGTCAGGATTCATCACACTGAGTTTTCATCTGATTTATTTAAATATTTGTTAAAGAAAAAAATTACAGGTTTTTAAGGTAAATTATACAAATCCACCTGGGAATTATAAACAAATCGGCAACAGCACAAAATATGGTAACAGAGTAAGTATTAATAGCTAGAGAAAGAAATCTGCTTTGAAATCCGTGAACTCCCAATATTACTTTACATAATTTGTTTCCAGTTATCAGCCTAAGAAGCACAAAAAATAGTTTTGCTGCATCATGTGGTCAAGTACATTGTGTAAACACACACTATTTTAGAGTGCTGCCTCATGCACATATACAGCTGTCCTCAATGTGATAACAGTGGAGAGGACCTGGCCAGCCGCCCTGACAACCAGTGGTGGCTTGGGCATTGGGGAGCCCATGGCAGCCTTGCCATTTCCCCATTGTTGCTTCTCAGACTTGTCTTCTTTTTTGCAATTTGTGTTCTGAGTCCTCCCTTCCCACTTCACTTTTTGGGTCCAGGCTTGGTGTGGCCTTATAAAGTTAAATTTTGGTTCCTGCTGGATCAAAAATACATATTGTAAACAAATACCTTCCTTAGGCAAGGACAGTAAAATATTAATTTGCTAGAATGCATAGGAAAATGGAGTATTTCAATTTATTGACAATTCTACTTTATTTAGAATTAATCATAGAATCTTTTTTTTTTAAATAACAACTTCATTGGGACATAATTCTATATCATAAAATTCACCCTTTTAAGGTGCACATTTTAGTGGGTTTGGTATATTCAGTGTTGTGAATCATCGCCAAATCCAATTTTAGAAGAATTTCATCACTCTGCCCTCAAAAACCCATACTCCTTAGCTATCATCCCCTGATTCTCCTCCCCACAGCCCCTGTCAGTCACTGACTACTTTGTGTCTCTATGGACTTGCCTATTCTGGACATTTCATGTAAGTGGAATCATACAATATGTGGCCTTGTATATCTGGCTTCTTTCACTAAGCATAAGGTTTTCAAGGTTTACCTTATACAATGTAATATGCATCAGAACTTTATTCTTTTTTATAGTTGCGTAATATTCTATCGTATGGTTATATCACATTTTGTTTATCTGTTCACCAGTTAATGGACATTTGACTTGTCTCTGACATTTGGTTATTATAATAATGCTGCTCTAAACATTCTTGTACACATTTTTGTGTGGGCATACGTTTTCAATTATCTTGGGTAGGAGTGGAATTGTTAGGTTATATGGTAACTTTCTGTTTAACATTTTGAGGAATAGCCAGTTTTACAAAGTGGCTACACCATTAACATGCCTATAAGCAGAGGATGAGAGTTCCAGTTCCTCCATATCCCTCTTCGACATTTGTCTTTTGTTTCTAGTCAACTAGTGAGTGTGAAGTAAAGTCTTATGGTTTTGAGTTACATTTCCCTAATAATGTTGGGCATTTTCTCATGGGCTTATTGGCCATTTATACAACTTCTTTGGAGAAATGTCTTTTAAATCAGATAATCTTTTATTATTACAATTTTGATGTTGAAAATTTTCCAAAATGCATCAAAGTACTTTTATACTAAATCAGTACTTCTACATTTGCACTTCGAAACTTGTCTACTTGTTGGTGTTGGATGTGCAGTGCCTTCAAGATGCCACCCAAACCCCAGTTTTGTTTTCTTTTTTTCTTTCTTTTATTTCCTTTATCCCTCCCTGAAGGCTGTTCTGGGAACCATCTGTGGATAAAGTCTTTGGTAGTGGGACCTAGTTGTGCAGGTCTCTCAGGAAAAGAAGCAGAATAGGGTTTCTTTTTCTGCTAGGGAAATATTCGGACTTGGAAAAGGGGAGAATTAAGGCTTACTGCCATCTCTCTCACTGGAGAGTGACCTCATGCCTTAACCTTCCATAGTGCTTGGGGGCTACAACGAACATATCAGTGTTTCGTCTAAAATTCTAGTTGAATTCTTAGAGTTTTATTTATTTGCACAATATAATTAAGATATAATCAGACAAACAACCCATCAAGGGATGGCCAATATAATTACAGAATACTCCCACAGCTTATATATTGCTCAAGGGGTAAATTGAAAAGCTAGCTCGATAAACACGGTGATGGATTTCTGTAGCTTAAAGTAAGCCACATTAAAGTTTTTTCCAGTGTTTTAAATGGTTAAACCCTTTAAATAAAACCTACTGGATGCTCTTTCAGTTCTAATGATAAGCCTATATTAACAAATTCCTATTGGTAGCTATGCCTAGTGCTTGAAATATAGTAGGTTCTCAATAAAAATTGTTGACTGATGATACAGAAATATTTCGATAATTAAATTCTTGATTTCAACTACTTATGTGAAAATACCACCCTATTCTTGGTTCTTTATTATCAGAGAAGAATTGAAGTAACTTTAACGGCAATTCCCACTTTTTCATCACCCCATTTATTTCCACACCCACTTCTCCAATACACACATACAACCATATACACTAATTCTTTGAGGTGAGTAAATGTCTTAAGATACGACTTTCCCAAATGTTCTTAATAAATGATTTTTGATAAACAGAATTTAGGGTTTGCATAAATGTTAAAGGCTCTGTCTTTACTTTTATTTATTTTTTTAACCCTTTGAACTTCTTTATCCATTTCTCCCATTCCCCTGCCTCTGGCAAACACTAATTTGTTTTCTGTATCTATGAACTTGGGTTTTTTGTTTTGTTTCGTTTTGTTGTTTTTTTAAGATTTGACATGTAGGCGAGATCATACTGTATTCGTCTTTCTCTGTCTGACTTATTTCACTTAGCATAATGCCCTCGAGGTCCATCCCTATTGTCTCAAATGGCAAGATTTTACTTTTTTTTTAATGGCTGAACAATATTGTATTATATAATATACCACAATTTCTTTATCTGTTCATTCATCAGTGGACACTTAGGTTGTTTCCATGTGTTGGCTATTGAACATAGTGCAGCAATGAGCATAGGTACAGATATCTTTTCAAATTAGTGTTATTTTACTTGTCAGTGTTTTTATTCTGTGTGGCAGATGCATACAGTAAAGACAGAAAGAATTTAATTGCTTGCCAAATAAATGCTAGGTATTTTTATAGTCATTTTGGCAAATGCTACTCATTTAACCTTGACATGAGTTCTAGGAGGTGGTTCATGTTCTTTCTTTATAAACTAGAACTGAGGTTCAAAGGGGGCTTAGTGACCTTGGAGTCAGCCTCATGTTTCCTGTGTCTCCACCATGCCACTCTGCACTGACCACGCAAACATTTAACTGTTGCTCCTAGAGATCACTTGTGTTTGTTTTATTTTTATTTCCTTTTCGTGTATGGGCGTTATTTGGGGTCGAGGTACTAGATTAGAGTAATACAACTTCCAGTTAACTGAGGGCTTCAGTAAATTCCAGGATGGCTAATGGATTTTATTGAATGATTCTATAGATATCTGATCCTCCCTTAGTAAAAAATGTTACCAAATTAATTAAGTAATTTCTTACTCTGGAGTTAGAGATAAATGAGGATGATTTGAAAAGAATGAGAAGGGTGGAACGTTGAAACCCTTCCTTCAAAATATTTGAGATATTTTTCAAATTAATATTTAAACTAACAACAAAAAGAAAAAGAAAAAAGAAAAAAGACTGAGATATCAGGAGAGCAGCCCTTCAGCAAAGTAAGAAATGTACAGTGTTCCCTTGGGAGACACTGCTCCAGGAAAAGAAAAAGAATATGGGCTCTAGGGAAGATCGGCAGCTTTCTCTGCCAAGTCAACGAGAGGCATATTTTCTGGAAATTTAAAGGTAAACTGTGATGTATCTTGTGTGTACTGGACCAGCAAAGGTTCCAGACCCAGCTGACCAGATATCTGGGAGGTGGCGTCTGGTCAAGGGCGGCTATTGGAATTTCTTCAGACCATTTTCCAACTTTCTTGTCCTATACAACTTAGTTCTTTCCTTCCTAAACCTGCAGTTTTTTAATAGCTTGATTTTGTTTTTCTTTCTAGAGGGAAGAGCCCTACCCATAAAAAGGGCCCTGATGTTTCCAAGGCTGAGGGCGGGCAGGGGAGGCGGGCGGAGGGAGTGGGGGCGTGGAGGAAAAGAGCAAGTCCTGCTAGTTCAAAGCCCTCAGACCCAATGGCAGGGAAGGAAATTTTCGACCGAGGAATTCCATAGCCCATCTTTCTGTCCCTGTGCCTGTCGCTACCTTCCTCCCTCACAGACACACAGAAGCAGAAGGCTCCAGTGTGACCGCTGCTCGTGTCAGAGCTACCTTTTGATTTGGGACATTCAGATCACAATTCTGACTTGGGATCCAGAAGCAATGAGTTGGCATTTGTTTCCGTGTGCATTTCTATGCTTGTCTTTTCATAAGAAGGGAAAGCACAGAGCCGTGATAATCTCACCAGGAGACCCAGAGCTGGGAAGCCAGCCAGCCTGGCTCCCTGCCGTCTGGTCTTTGTCAGAACTAAATGCTTCTAGCCAAGGCACCATTCCTCAGGGCTGCATCACAGAGGCCAAGCTTGAAACACTTAGCAAAGCTGGTGACACTTCTAATAAAGTGCAGTCTCTGAGCTGCCGCTGCAGGAAACCCTAATTCTAGAGGCTTCTGTTTTCCTTTTCTTTGTTTTGCTTTATCTTAACATCTCTTGGGCTTTATCTGTTTCCTGTTATGTAAAAGGGGACTTTTAAGAGAGTCAAAGTAAATGAATGAAGGATGGATTTGAAGCATAGATTCCAAACATTTTCTTGACATTTGCTAAAGAAAACAATTTGGGGCACGTGGCGGGGGAAGGGGGGCGGGGGGGTGGTGGTGGTGGAGTAAAGAAAAGCCAAAAAAAAAACCAAACAGAAATGAAAGCAAGCACAATACTTATATCAATAAAAACAGATGGATAAAACTGAGGGAGACTAAATGAAAAGCAAAATTACAGTATTCTGTTTAGAAGACACAAACGTGAAATAAAATGACACAGAAGTATTAAAAATAAAATGATGTCAAAAAACAAATTAGAGTGGTGGTTCCATAGAGTAGTGGTTAGCACATCTGCTTTACACGCAGAAGGTCCTGGGTTCGAGCCCCAGAGGAGCCACGGACCATACCCCAGGTGCGCCAGACACCCCCACCCCCACCCCCGGGTGTGCGCCACAAGCGCGTGGGAGGAGATGCCCCATCTTCAGAGATCCAGTTCTTAAGGGGAGACAGCAACATCCATAGGTCAGGGGTGGAAGTATGTGTGAGGGGGGCGCGGACAAATTAGACAGATATAAACTGAAGGCTGGAAGCAGAGGTAACAATGCGAATAACATGGGGTCCCAGTGGAAAAGGGCCCCAAGACACAGAGAACTCACTTGAAGAGACACAACTTTACCAGCAATCAAGGTGGTGATTCTGATGCAGGACAGGGCAAATTCCCCGAGTCGGAAGAGACTCAAGTCCTGCACGGAGAGAGAAGAGGGTTCTGGGCAGAGCGTAAAAAGCATTTAGACACGTGCCAAAGTTAGAGTCAAAAGGAAAGTTTATTAGAGAAGGGGTGACACTCCAGAGACAGAGTGTAGACTCCTCTCAGAGGGCAGAGAGTGAGAGAGACAGTGAGACACTCAAAGGGACAGAGACAATAGAGAGAGAGATAGGACAGTGAGAGGGACATAGTAAAGACACTGAGAGGAACTCGGAGTGTTCAGAGAATTCAGTTTATATATATTCTTTAGTTCCCGTGAGTTACAGTTTAAATACTTTGTTTACCCATTTTCCTTAGATATGGACAGACAGTAAGGAAGGATAGGAGTATATGTAGCGTGAAAAGTTAAGAATTTGTAGCTTGAAAGGCGTGCTGGCAGTTCCCAGCCTTTAATGCATAGGTTTCTCATGGTTTTAGCCATTAGGGAATGAACTGATTTTATTTTGTGAAGGGGCCACTTAAAGATTCTGTTTATCCTGTTTTCCCTTCAGGGTATAGGGAAATGGGTTGTTAGAAATCCCAGCAGAAATCTTTCTTTGTTCTGCAGGTTTCCTGAGGTTTGGGCTGCAGGACTGATCAGCATATTGCAGTCTGAACATAGCTTGATTTAACATTTTAGTTCTCTTGCCTTCTTCCTATATTAATTCCTCCTTCTGTGCTGGTGAGGACCTAGGAGATGTATTTGTGTGAGGCTGTGAATGGGAGGAGTGTAAACTGCTGTAAACCTCTGTATAAAGTACGAAAACTGAAAATTTTATGATATTGCAAACTGATTTTGTTAACTTGCAATATATTTGGGGAAAAATGAACTTTGCTCTCTAACTTACACAATGTATAAAAATTCCATGTTTATTAAAGTCTATATTAATTATATATTTAAAGTTAATTAAGAAACCTATAAAAGCATTAGGAGAAAATATAAAAGAGTATTTTTCCAATCACAGTTTGAAAGAGTCCTTTCTGTGCATGGCAGAAGAACCAGATGCCATAAAGGAAAACAGTCACAGATTTGATAACCTAAAAATAAATTTAAGTGAAATGATAAGTAATAATAAGGGAAAAAATTTGTGACATCGATAATAGAAAAAAGTAAATATTGATAATATATAAACGGTTACTACATATTAATAACTAAAAGAGACACACCCAGTAGGAAATTGATCAAAATGTTTGAACAGACAATTAGTTCATAGAAGAAGAAATCAGATGGACTAAGATTCTAAAATATGTATAATACCCAGTGTTGGCAAGAATGTGAGGAAACAGACATTTGATGCCACTGTAATTAGAGGTACAAATTGCTAGACCATTTTAGAGAGCAATCTGACTGTATCAACAAATTAAATGTGCATACCTTTTGATTTAACAACTTTCCTTATAGGAATATAAATTACAGAAATAATATGTGTAAAGATATGTATGAGCTAGGATAATTGTCATAGTTTCATTTGAAATAATGAAAAATGGAAACAATCTAAATTTCTACAGTTAGGGAATTGATTAAATAAATTATGGCACATCTGCACAAAAATACTTTCTAACTGCTAAAAAAGAATAGAAAAGATCTTTACGTACTTACATGAAACTATTTCCATGAGACGTTATTCAATGAAATGAGCAACTTGCAGAAAACTACATAGAGTATGACTCTATTTTTGTTTAAAAAAACAACTAATGAATAAAGTCAATGTTCACAAACATGTAGTTAACAGTGATTACTTTTAGGGAGTTCAGTCCAAGAGAAGTCCCACCTTTTACTTAGATACTCTGTACTATTTGAAATTTTGTTTTCTACAATAAAGAAATATTCGTTTTATAATTAAAAATGAAGATTTGAAACAAAATGTTCAAGTTTTCAATGTAAATTGCAAAACAAACTAAATTCTCTGAATGCTTCAGTAATTAGTAACTGCTTATATGTTATGCATCATTGCAAAAGGTACTTGTTCTCTCCATGCCTCAAGAGTCTGTCAGAAATGTTCAAGCAGGGAAGAAAGCTGGGACTTCCCAAGTCCCTACCAGTCAAGGAAAAAGCACTGGTAGAGCCAACACTAACTCTAATGCCTGTGGGGCCAGCAAGGACCTAAAGAAACAGAACCTTTTGGGGGATGAGCATGAGACAGGAGCCTATAGGGCCTGGAGCATGCTCAGGAGTGGGGCTCGGGACCAGCAGTGTTTACCGAAAATTTGACACCATGCATTTTTCCTTATGATGAACCAGATTTCAAGAGAAAGCAATCTGACAAAATGCTTCACAATATAATGGCTATATATCCAGGTAAGGGGAGTAAGTGAAGCTCTTGCAACACTTTAATTTCATTCATGGGAAATTCATGAGCAGGATAATTAATGACAAAATTAAAAGTAGTTTTTCTTTATTTAGAATTATGGTTTTGTCAGCAATAACGGTGAGATGGAGGTTTTAAATTATCTGGCAAACTCTTTCAAATTACATTTCTTTGCTTTTCTGGATACAGTGTATGACAGCTAATTCAGCATTGTCGCATGATAGTTTTATGCATACTATCCTGCTAAGTTATTATTTTTCACCAAATCTTTCTTGTACAACCTATAGGCAATCAACTGAGTTCATTTTTATCTCTAGTAATTTTTGTGTGTGTGAGGAAATAGTGGATGAATTCATCAGTTGAGTCATTGTTCTGTGTCTTCTATTATTAGGATATGACCATTTGGCATACACTTTTTGACAATAGAATAAAATGCCCTAAAACAGCAAAGAATCAGTGAGCCCATGTGTTTGATGAATCTGAGGAAGTGAATGGAAATTTCAGATAGCTATTGATTTAAAAGAGAAAAAGAAACCTCAAGTACCTTTTCCCTTGGCATGTCTGCTGTCTCCCACGATACTTTGCAAGGGCCTTCCTGTACTTCTCAGTTCTTGTCCAATCTTCTTGCCATCTTTGAGCTAGATACAACGGCTCTGAGTTCGTGATCCTTCCCAGAATAATTTTATTTTCTCTTTGCACTGTACGAAGTTCCTGTTCTCTTTTCTCCCTGTTTGGACTCCAAAAAACAGCATACATATTTCTTGAAATACTGAAAGTTAAAGCCTGTAACAGAGTCCTCATTCTGCATTAAAGAGAATGAGTTCGAGTGCCAACAGGGTAGAAAGGACTCTCGGAGAGGAAGTGTTTACTCTCCTTCACTTGTTTTACAAACACTTAGTAGCTCATTCTTCTCCGGGTGCCCAGACTGGGAGGTGCTAGGCTTCAGAGATGAACAAACACAGTCCTGAGCTTAGGGAACTTATGGCCCAGTTAAGGGAAGTGACATGTAGAGGAGAAAATAAAACACAGCGCTGTGGATGCATTGGAGACACAGAGGTGGGAATACTCAGGGCTTCCTGAGGACGACAGTAGGAAGAGGTGGCAATCAGGAGAAGTGATACTGGGACAGAGCCCTGAAAGAATGATGGGTGTCACCAGGCAAGCAAGAAGAGAAAGGAAATCCCAGGTGACATACATCTAGAGAAGTACAGTGGGAGGTTGACAGAGGCTGGACTTTGAGGGCTTGTGTGCAGCTCAAGGAGTTCTGACTCATCTTGAAGGCAATGAGGAGCTACCGAATGTCTTTAAATCATGTTCAAAAGTGCATTTTAGAAAGATCACTGTGGAGAAAGGGCGGAGAACAGATTGGAGGGAATGAGACTGGGAGCCCACTGCCGTGGTTCAGATGAGGGTGGAAAAGGCCTGAGTCAGGTAACTGCATCCGGGTAAGGAAGGGAGCTGTTGGAGAGGAAGAACCAAGAGCAGCTGGCTCCTGATAAGCTGTGAGAGAGCAGAGCAAGGAGAGAAAAATGAAGCACAGGTCTTAGGATCAAGCAACTGGGTGAATATGGGGAGAGTTGTTGAAATAGGAAATAATAGTGGAGCATCATCTACTATCAGAACATTTTTTGATCACTCTTCTATATATTTTATGCACTTCATTGATAACAGATTGCTGTCCATTATTTTATATACCACCAAGAAAGAAAAATTGTTGCCAGCAAAACTGTGCCATGCTATGCACTGTAAGATGCACTCCCACTTCAGAGCCATTAAAATGTGGAGTGGGGGATAGGTAGGGGAAAGTAGGAGGGTATATCTTAGAATCTATGAAATATGATTATCTAACTTAGCCCTTAGAGGTAGGCACTATTATTAGTCTTTCTGAGGTTAAAAACTTGCCTAAAGTCACAGAGCGAACCGGTGGTGGAGCTGGAACTTGAGCACACGGTCTAACTGGGTTTGGGTTATGGTGGAACATTTACGTAGAATCACCTGTTTGGCTGATGTTTGGGGTGACAATAATGCAAAAGACATGGATATGTGAAGGAATCTGCAACATTGGAGTGATGATTAAGTGAAAGCAGGGATCGGAAAGGGCACCAGCACTGAAGGGAATTTAAGGAGAGAGCAGAGGGCCAAACAGGGCAGAAGAAAATAGTTAGACAGAAAGGAAATGTAAGAGAGAGTTGAGAAAGAGTTAAAACTGGAAGGGAATGGACACTGATGTTAAAAGCTATGGTGCCGTCAAATCAGAACATGTGATGAAGCCATAATTAATGTTCAAGGAAACATTTTAATGAAATATAAAAATTCTTTTGATTTAATGTTAGGTGAAAAAAGTCAGGATGTAAGATTATATATGAGGTACAATTTTAATTGTACGTAATACACATATATGTGCACAAAAATATAATTATAAGAAAATGCAGACAAATATACAAAAATTATTATCTCCAAGCAATGGAATTACAGGTAATTAAATTTTTTCTTTATAGCCTCTAATATGAATATGTATTACTTTCTGATCAGGAAAATATGAATATTATTTTTAAAACTTTAAAAGGAAACAGTTCAATGAATTTGGTGACTGGACAGTCATTGATGAGCTCATTTGATTGTCCAGTTATCCAACAAATGTTTATGGAACACCTGTTGTGTGCCCAGGCATTGTGTCTACACTGATGAACAAAATAGACAGACTCCCTATGGTCATGAGGCTTTTTCTAGTTCCTTAAGTTAGAAAGTAAAGTGGTTGGTTTGAGATCTTTCTTATTTTTTAGTATGTTTATAGCTATAAATTCCCTCCTTAATACCACTTTGGTTCCAGCCAATAAATTTTCATATGTTATGTTTTTATTTTCATTTATCTCTAAGTATTTTCTATTTTCTCTTATGATTTCTTTTATCAATTGATTGTTTAAGAATGTGTTGTTTAATTTCCACAATTTTGTGAATTTTCCAGTTTTTCTTCTGTTATTAATTTCTAACTTCATCTCAATGTGGTCAGAGAAAATATTTTGTATCTTTTTAAATCCACTGAGATTTAATTTGTGACATAAGATGGTCTACCCTGGAAGATGTCCCACGTGCACTTGAGAAGAATGTGCACACTGTCAATCAGTAAAGTGCTTTGTATATGTCTGTTACATCTAATGTGTTATTTAAGTCCTCTATTTCCTTATTTATTTTCTGTCGGATTGTTCTATCCATAATTGTGAGTGAGGTATTGAAATCTCCAACAATTATTGTATAACTGTCTGTTTTTCAACTCAATCCTGTCCGTTTTTGCTTCATATATTTTGATGATCTGTCATTAGGCATATAAATGTTTATAATTTTTATATTTTCTTGCTGTAATAAACATTTTATTAATATGTAATATCCTTTGTCTCCTGTAAACTTTTTAAATTTAAAGTATATTTCATTTGGTATTAGAGTGGCCACCTCTCTTCTCTTGGTTACTATTTTCATGGGATATATTTTTCCATTCTTTAACTTTCAATCTGTTTGTGTGTTTGGATCTTAGTGATTATTTTGTAGACAATATATTGTTGTTTGTACCCATTCTATGAATCTTCATCTTTTCATTGGAGAGTTTATCCATTTATATTTAAAGTAATGACTGATAAGGAAGAAATTCTGCCATTTTTCTATTTGTTTTCTATGTCATATAGGTTTTTGGTCTCTCATTTCCTGTATTAATGTTTTCTTCTATATTTACTTGATTTCTTTGTAGTGAAAGATTTGAATTCTTCTCTAATTTCCTTCTGTGTATATTCTATTATTTGTGTGTGGCTATTTATATTACCAGTTCCCACGGTGCATACCATGGGAACTGGTAATATAAAATAATAATTCTTTTGATGAGTTAGTCTCTGAAATTATGTAAAAAACAAGATTTTGAGTTGCAAATCAAAGTTCCAATAATATGAGGTTTGATATTTGTCCATGTATTCACCTTCGTTGATATCTTTATTTCTCCATATGGCTTCAAGTTCCTGTTCAGTGTCCTTTACTTTCACCCTGCAGGCCTCCCTTCACCATTTCCTACAGGGCAGTTCTAGTGGTCAGGAGCTCCCTCAACTTTTGTTTATCTGGAAATGTCTTAATTTCTCCCTTGTTTTTGAAGGACAGATTTGCCAGATATAGGATTCTTAGTTGACAGTTTTTTTCTTTTAGCACCTTGAATATATCAGCCCACTGCTCTGGCCTCCAAAGTTTCTGATGAGAAATCTACTGATAATCATATTGATGATTACTGTCTGTGATAATTTGTTTCTTCCTTGTTGCTTTCAAATTTCTTTTTTCTTTCCAATGTATGATTATAATGTGTCTTCACATGGATATCTTTGAGTTCATCTTTCTTGAAGTTTGTTATGCTTCTTGAATCAAATTTGGGAAATTTATAACCATTATTTCTTCAAATATTCTCTCTGCCCCTTGTCTTTCTCTTTTTCTTCTGCAACTCCCACATGTATATGTTAATCTTCTTGGAGATGTCCCACAGGTCCTTTAGGTCCTTCTGTCTTTTCTTCAATATTTCTCATTCTGTTCCTCAGCCTCAATAATTTCCATTGATCTACCTTCAAATTTACTGTTTCTTTCTTCTGCCTGTTAAAATCTGACTTTGAATATCTCTAGTAAAATTTTCATTTCTGTTATTATACCTTTCAAGTACATCTTTATTGATGTTTTCATTTTGTCCACACATTGTTTTCTTGACTTTCTCCATATCTTCCTTTAGTTCTTTCAACATCTTTAAGAGAGTTGCTTTAAAGTTTTTGTCTAGTATAATTCACATCAGGTCGTTTTCAGGCAGTTTATGTTGATTCACTTTTTGTTCCTTTGAATGAGGCTTACTTTCTTGTTTCTTTGCATGTCTTGTGATTTTTGGTTGAAAACTGTACATTTGAATCTAATAATGTGGTAACTCTGGAAATCATATTCTTCCCTTTCTTAGGGTTTGCTGGTTTTTAAAACTTTTTTATTGTTGTAGGCTGTCTCTGTGCCAAAGATCAAACATAATGTCTTATTTTCTTTCTGAGTCTTTTCTTAGGATGCACTGTCACTTTCCAATTTTTCCTATATATGCAGTTGTTTTTTTTTTTTTTTTTAATGTCCTAGTCTTTAATGTCTGACTCCTAAAAGGAGAAAAGAGGAAAATAAGGAAGAGCTAGAGAAAAAGCATTAATCCTTTAAGTTCCTTGGAAATCACTTCAGCTGAAGTTAGGATGGTCCTGTACCAATGGGGATAGGTGCAACAAGAATGGCTGCCACCTCTTCATCTGCACATCTGTGATTAGAAGCAGCAATCAGTGATCAATGTGCAAACCTGATATTGACTGAAATTAATCACATTTACCATGGAAGCCTTCCCCCTGGAAGTTGCAAGCCTTCAATAGACTACAGAGTTCCAACATAGATATTTTATATAGATTCTGCTGGTTCAATTGTAGTCTAGATGGGGAGTCAGATTCCTGGTGCTTCCTATACCACCATCTTTCTAGCAGTGAGACTTATTTAGCATTTTAAGGCCTGTTCTTTTAAGATGAAAACTCTTTCCTGACCCCATACAAGTGTCTTGGATATGAGCAACCATCAGCACAGTCAATGAGAACATTTTCATTGCAACCATTAGCACAATCAATGAGAACATTTTCATCACCCTCCAAAAGAAACCATGTACTCTTTAACTATCAATTTACTATACATCCAATCCTCCTAGTCCCAAGCAATAGCTAATCTATTTTCTATTTCTATAGATTTCCCTATTATGGACATTTCATATAAATGGAATCATATAATATCTTGTCTTTTGGAAACTGGCTTCTTTCACTTAGCATAATGTTTTCAAGGTTCATTCATGTTGTATATTTTAGTACTTCATTCATTAAAATGGCTGGATAATATTCTATTGTATGGGTATACCAAATTTTGGTTATACATTCTTCAGTTGATGAGCATTTGGATGTTTCCACCTTTTGGCTATTATGAATTATGCTTCTGTGAACATTGATGTACAAGTTTTACTTGTGGACATGTTTTCATTTCTCTTGTGTATTTAATAGGAGTGGAATTGCTGAATCATATAGCAACTCTACGTTTAACCATTTGTAGAACTGCCAGACTGTTTTCCAAAGTAGCTGCACCATTTTCTATTTCCACCAGCAGTAGACAAGGGATCTAATTTTTTATATCCTCACCAACACTTGCTATTATCTGCCTTTTTGATTCTAGTAGGTGTCAAGTGGTATCATATTGTGATTTTGACTTGCATTTTCCTGATGACTAATGATGTTGAGCTTTTTTTTTTTTCATGTGCTTATTAGTCTTTTGTATATCTTCCTTGGAGAACTATCTATTCAGATCCTTTGCCCATCTTTTAATTGGGTCGTTTGTCTTTTTATCATTGGTCTGTAAGAGTTCTTCATTTTTCTGGATGCAGTTTCCTTATGAGATATATGATTTGCAAATATTTTCTCCCATTGTGTGGGTTGTCTTTTTATTTTCTTGACAGTGTTCTTTGAAGCACAAAAGTTCTTAATTTTGAGTAACTCCAATTTATCTATTTTTTCTTTTTTTGTTCATGCTTTTAGTGTAATAGCTGAAGCCATTGCCAAATATGAGGTCAGGAAGACTCACCTCTATGTTTTCTTCTGAGAGTTTTACAGTTTCACTTATATAGGGCTTTCGTCCATTTTGAGTTAATTCTTGTATATGGTGTGAGGTAAGAGTCCAACTTCATTCTTTTGCATATGAACATAGAGTTGTCCCAGCATCATTTGTTGAAAAGACTATTCTTTCCCCATTGAATGGTCTTGGCAACGTTGTTGAAAAAAAATTGACTATAGACACATGGGTATATATCTGGACTTTTAATTCTGTTCCATTGAAAGTCCAGATATACATGTCTGCCCTTATGACAGTGCCACATTGTCTTGATTATCATCGCTTCATAGTAAGTTTTGAAATCAGGACACATGAGTCCTATTTTGTTCTTCTTTTTCAGGATTGTTTCAACTATTTGGTGTCCCTTGCAATTCCATATGAATTTTAGAACCAGCTTATCAATTTTTACAAAGAAGTCAGCTGGGATTCTGATAGAGATTGCATTTAATTTGTAGATCAGCTAGGGGAATATTGCCATCTTAACAACATTAAATCTTCCTATCCACAAACAAGGGATTTTTTTTTCCATTTATTTGGCTCTTCTTTAATTTCTCTCAAAATGTTTCACAATTTCAGAATATAAGTTTTGTTAAATTCATCCCCAGGTATTTTGTTGATTTTTTGAATTTCATTTTTGAATTGTTCATTGCAATATGTAATTGTATATAATTGACTTTTGTATATTGATCTTGTATACTGCTACCTTGTTGGATTTGTGTATTAGTTCTAATAACTTTTTAGTGGTTTCCTTAGGATTTTCCATATGCAAGATCATGCCATGTGTGAATAGAGACAATTTTACTTTTTCCTTCTCAATTTGGATGCCTTTTATTTTATGTCCAATGAGGCTTACACTTCCCCACACTCTGCTGCAGATGAAGTCAGTTCCTTTGGGGAAGAGATCATGAGCTCTCTGTTTTATGACCTGATTCTCTCCCTGGCCAAAATCTTAGAGGTCTAGAGCTAGGAGTGAGGAAAGTGGTAAATTTCTCTCTGAGTGACACCTTAGATTAACTGTTATCCTTCATTACAACTTCAAGGTAAGTAACACTGAACTAGAGAGTGATTCTAGATCTAACATAAACTGTTCTAAGAAAATGGTAGTTGACCCATAGCTCTAGCTTTTAGTGACAGGGGCTTGACAGTGGGTAAGCCAGGAAGCACAAAGCATTTCCGACACCCAGGCTTGCTCTATTCACTCCAAACCCTCCAGAGTGAAGTTGCGTCTTCAGTAAAACTTTGATTCATAGATTACAGGAGAAAAGGCATTTCTCTGGCATATGACCCTTTAGAGTAAGGGCAGAAATGCCTCACTCTGGCTCCTGGGCAACTCTTCTGCTCAGGCCATGGAGCCAAGTGCTCGGAGTCCTTCCAAGTTTGGTGCTGACTAGTGCCGGGGCCCCCAGTTACCTCCTGTGTGTGTAGTCATTTCTGTTGGTGGTCTGTCCCTTAGACCTCATAATGCAGGACATCTTTTCCAGCAGCAGACGGTTGTCCCTGTCAATGACAGAGAGCCGCTCCTCCTCCAGCTGCAGGCAGACACACAAGGAGCCTTTAGAAGCACCAGCTGTGACTATGTTAATAATGTGCACAGATTTATTCAGAGGATCCCCTCAACCCCACTCTTCCTTTAACTTGAGCACCCTGTGGGTTTCACGTTGCCTCCTCAAATATCAGCAAGCACTGCTGTGGCAAGCTTCAGCTACAAGTGTGATGTATGCAGGCTCCTTTGTCTATGAATTGAAAGACATAAAGATGGGGCCAAATTTCATATGCTTGGGGTGGAAGTAACAGCGAAGATGATAAAATTCTTTGTGAAATTAGGTCAACCTCTAAAATTCTGACCTGCGACAGTGATGCTAATAAGGAAATAATTTTATATTTTAAGAGAGATATTTTACACTATTCAGAAAAAGAAAAAATATAAGCCCAGAAGAAACAACCATCCTCTTGTTTTAGTTTTTAAATTGAACAATCTATTGATTTGCTCAAAACTGGTTACTCAGCTTTTGCTCTGCCCATTTAGGAGATTATTACTTAATAGGCACACAAAAAGTATATAGCATTTTGCTTTTGGCGTCATTACTATTACCATAACCATGTGATTCGTACTCTCACTAGATGGCTTAAGCTTCAAGAAATAAATATTTTGAGGTGGTCTTGAAACCGTCTGGTTTAAAGAAATGATGCTAATTACTCTCAAACCACGCTAAATAAATGACACTGACAATTTCTTCTCTTCCCCCACTTTTCCTCAAGACGAGAAAGATCAACAGGAAGACCAGCTCCATTTGGGGTGGGATGAGGTGAACTGGTTGCCTAGATGGCATTTTATCTTTGATGGTGACTTGTTTATACCTTATTGAGCTTGCTTTTTCCATTTTCCTAGGGTTTTAAGCTAACATTTTCTAGTTAGCTGTGACAGTAACTGAAAGGTAGAACTGAAAGTTACCTTCAGCTTCTTGAGGTTCAGGTGGAGGTGGCTGAGGGACAGCGGGGCACGGGTATCCACGATCGGCTGGGCGCTCCGGACCTATGGCATAGAGTGGGAGGTGTGATCCCAGGCACACTTTTAGTAAATAATTAATGTGAGCTTAGATTACTTGGTTTCTGGGTTGCCATATAGATCTTTATTCATGGCACCGAAGATTCCAAGTCAGCCTGTGGTAAAAAGTTCTGAATGAGGCTCAGGACTTGATTCAGAATCTAAATATCCCCTGGAGGAACCAAGCAGCCCTCAAAAATGAGCCTACATTGTTATTTCCAAGTGGAGAATTAAGTAGGTAGGGAGTGAGGATTCATTACCCGTAACCACCAACTGACATTTCTATTATGCACTCTGTTGCCAAAGGCCTTTAAGACAGTGAATTATGTCCCTGTTTCCACCTCACTCTAATCTCTGAGCCTCCAGCAATACTTTCAAGATGAGTGCCTTAAACATTGATTAAATGCAAAATGATTCCTATAGTTTCCTATCAGAAAATGTATAAACAAGAGAAGGAATTTATATTTTAAAATGTTATGGACTTAATGCATGAGTTCATATACAAATATGTATTACTATTTGCAATTAAAAGGCATCCTCCCAAGTAGAGATACTTGCTTATAGATCATACTACTGGGACCTATTAGCTGATAATCTGAAAGCGATAGCATGGGAAAGCTCCACCAGCTGAGTCTGTCTAAAATTAATGTTTGAGCATCATGCAGTCTGGGAATCAAACCCGTGGAGTGTGCAGTGATGGAACAGAGCACGTGTGGGGGGAGCCAGGAGATGGCAGAAGGGCTAGATGGTGAGAGGGTTTAAAGAACGCACTCATTTTGAAATGCTTTTAAAATTTAATTTTGTTTTATAATATGTAAAATATTTGCATGACTTCTAAGTCAAATCCAAACAATTTCTTTTTCTAAGTGGTCTGGGTCCTATCCCTATCATCTTCTCCCTATTCCTCGTTAACAAATCTTTTAACTTTACAGTTATTTCTTCTATTTTTGAAAATATAAGGTTATAGGTATTATGTGTGTATGTGTAAACAAATTTATGTGTGTATATATATTTATATACATTTTCATCCCCTCTTTTTTAGACACATGGCATATTTTATATATTTTTCACCCCATTTTTTTCATTTCACAATATATTCTTGAGATAACTTCATGGTAATATGTATAGATGTTTCTCATTCCTTTTTATAGCTTCATAGTACTTCATTGTGTGAAAACATCCTAATTTATTCACCTAACTCATTTTTTTTTATTATTAGTTTCAAGCATTACAGTACATTGGTTAGACATTTATATAGTTTATAAAACAATCCCCCTAATTGCTTTTTCTCTTCTATAGCTCTCCACTTAGCCATTATATTAATGCTAACTGCATTCCCTATGCCATGCTCCTCATCCCTGTGACCATCTATCAACTACTAATTTGTACTTCTTTAACCCTTCACCCCATTCTTCCAGCCCCACAACCCTCCTCCCCTCTGGCCATCAACAGATTGTACTCTAATTTGTGAATCTGTTTTTGATTAGTTTGTTCTTTTTGTTCTTTAGATTCTGCATATAAGTGAAATCATATGGTATTTATCTTTCTCTGTCTGACTTATTTCACTCAGCATAATAACCTCTAGGTTCATCCATGTCGTTGCAAATGATAAGATTTCATTTTTTTAATGGATGAGTAACATTCTATTGTACATATGAACCATAACTTCTTTATCCAATCATCTGTTGATGGGCATTTAGCTTGCTTCCGTATCTTTTGTAGCTATTGTAAATTGTGCTGCCATGAACATGGGAGTGCATAAATCTTTACGAATTATTGTTTTGGTTTTCTTTAGCTAAATACTCAGAAGTGCAATTGCTGTCCCCCCGCTCACTTTTGATGGACATTTGGATTAGTTTCAATTTTGTTATTACAGATAGTGCAATTAGAATCTTTTGCAGTTTCTTTTTTATCTTTGCAAATACACCTTTGGAATGAGTACTCAGAAATGGGACTGTTGGATAAAGGGAAAATGGGTGTATAATTTTATGAGACATTGCTAAATCATCCCCCCTTCCCTGACCCCTACAGGGCTGTGCTCTTTTGCCCATTAGAGTACTGCCAACAAATTTGAAATATTTTTTGCCAGACTGATAGTTGAGAAATGGTATTAAAGTGCAAGTTTAATTTGCATTTTTCTACTATAAGTAAGGTTGATAACCTTTTTATAGGTTAAGAACTATTTGCAATTCGTTTTCTGTGAACTTTTTGTTCATATTATTTGTCTATTTTCACATGGGGTTGTTTGAATTTTTTTTCTTATTTTTAGAAGTTCTTTATACATAAGGATATTACCCATCTGATCTATGATAAAAGTTGCGATTATTTTTCCCAATTTATATTTGTTTTCCCATTGATTCTTTTGAGTTCTCCACATTTTCTCTCATTTTACCTAGAAATAGAAAAATATATACCTATTTTCTTGCCTAATTGATTTGTCTTGTCTACTTGCATTGGCTAATACCTCCAACACAATTTAAAAGAGTGTAAGAAATAGTAGGCATCCTTGTCTTATTTCTTGCTTTATAGGGAACACCTTCAGCATTTCCCTAGTAATTAAGATATTGGCTTAGGGATGAGATATTTATATTTTATTATGTTAGTAAAATATCAATAGCAATTTGTATTTTATTAAAGTTATTTTATTTTAGCATATATATGTGTTCAGGTGTAAGGTAGATGCCAGGCTGAGGATAAGGTGTTTGATTTCTAGAGATGGCTTTGGGCACAGTGCTCTCCTTCAAGTCTGTTTTCTCTCCTCTATTGCATCAAAGTCCCTTATATCTCAGGTTCTCAGCCAAGCAATAAGAAGTGAAATTAGTCTAAAGAGCTGACCACCCCTGCCCAGCCCCCCCCTCCCCCGCCAATATGGAAGGAGAATTTGTTCTAAGCCAAGTTTCAATGCCAACTAGCGAGGTTTGGAGTGGTAAATGGAGTCTCACTGGTTCTTTATTGTTGCTTCCAGGCAGGGCTGGGTGGCCCTCACCTTTCCTTCTGCTGCAGGCACATGTGTCCCCTCATTCACCTGGGCCTTTAGCATCTGGACCACAGATTTGTCTTCCCCTGAATGAGTTCTACATCATAGGGACAGCCTTTCCAGCTCCCTCCATTCTCTGACATCCTCATGAACTGACTTCTCCTCTCCCGGAAACCCCTGCCAGGACTCCAGGCATTGTCCTCACATGGAACCACCCCTTTGGAAAGCTGTGCTTCAGTTGTCTCATTCCTCACCCACAGGCTCTTTATTTTCAGCTTTCTTAGTTGACTGTACCCAAGACTGATGCCTTGACTTCATGTGGCTCCCCATCTTCAGTTTATTCCCCTCTAGGTAAGGCCCTACCTTTAACACCTCATACCAGGATCATCGGTTCCCTGACCCCATGCTCTGCTGCTGGCCACAAGCCACATTAGGATATGCCAACAATCCATTGTTAGACCCAGCACCAATGTGTTTCTGGGACACTACAGAACTGCATGTGTCAGTGATACTTGAATTTATGCTCCCAACCATACCTGGGGCCCGTGCCAACTATCAACATGCTGGTTCTCTCCATTTAAACATTTCTCTACTTTGCACAATGACTTTGTCAAATCTTCTTTATCTTATAGTGTCGTAGGCACAGATCTTGGTTACTTAACTTAAGCTGGGGGTGTTTATTGACCACCTATCTCTTACCAGGGATGAGTGTAGTCCCTGGGATATACAAATGAACAACAAAATACCATAGTGTTTACATTCTTGTCTGTTACTCAAAGCGGTGATGCTTATCGAGTTATACTTATTACTGTCATGCCCATTCTTTTTCTTTTTTTTCATCCTTTTCAATCTTTTCCTGGCAGCAACTATTTACTAAGTGTACATTGTGTGCTCTAGGTGTTGAGAATATGGTGACAGGACACAGCCACCACCCTCACAGACTGGAGGAAACAAACAAGATAAAACAAATCTGTTACATCAATCATATAGTGACATGAGCCAGCAGAACAAGGGACTACAGAGGGATAGGGGAGGGGTGCTTCCCAGAGAGGACACAGACAAGAATTCTAAGAAGACCAGGTCTAAGAAAGTGAGGGCGAGCCCTGGAATGACCAGGAGGAGTGCCCGGTGGGGCTCTCGAAGGGATAGTGGAGTGGGCTCAGGGCCCAGGTGTGAGTGGAAGGCACTGGGCCAGCTTTGCTATAAGTGTGACCCAAGCCTCCCTAAGGCTACCATGTCATTGCAACGCAGGCATGTAAAACCCTGCAGGAGTAGAAAGGCTTGCCTGGGTCTCTTTGTCCTGAAAAAACCTTGAGTCTACTGCCCTGGGGGATCACCTTAAATCAACACAAAGTAATGCCCCGTTCCAGAAGATCCCCTTCTTAAGAGCATTTCTCAACTCGGTGAACACAGATGTAGAGATACATGGCCAACAGAGCACCGAGCAGCTGGATGGTTCCAGTGAGGTCTGACAGGTAGAGGATCACAGCAGGCTATTTTGGAACCACTTGGCTACCTTCTCAAAAGACATCCACATTTGCATCAAATTAAAATGGAAATAATAATTATCTTCTAATGCAGATAAAAGTTGGCTTTTTGTCCCTACTGGAGTATGCTGTTTTGATAGGGTAAAGGGTCCCTCGGATCTTTTTGTCTTATGACACTTTCGAGTCATTTATGATAATAAGTATTTTATAAACATATGCCTTAACTGAGAAAGGATGTTTCTAAAACATGGCACATAAAAACCATAATCTATTTAATAGAATTTTTATTGTAAGGCAACCTATATGACCAAACTTTTAAGGAAATGTGATTTCAACCATTTCGTCTCTGAAAAGAAAATTAGCTTTTGATTTCCACGGAGAGCCCTGGCATTTTGTGAGTTCTGCTCTGGGGAACTTACCCTGAGCCATTAGGGCCTGGCACCCATATTTCCTACCTTTTTCCTGTGATTCTGGTAGGCTTTCTCCCAGGTGCTCTGCAGGCACTCACTGCCATAGGAAAGAGTCAGCTGGGGTGCCCTGTGCATCTCAAACAACAAAACTAACCTTCTCCTTTCAGAGAGGGGCCAGTTCAGGCCTCCGTGCAACCCTGCCAAGGGCTGTGTTTGCTGGATCACATGACAGTCGTCATGGCATCCAAGCCAAGGGGAAATGAAAGAGGGCGAGAGAATTGCCTGTGCGTGCTTAACAAAGAAGAATTGCATATTTTTCCACTCCAATGAGTATTTTCTCAAGACATCTTGAATAGCTTAGTGATGCCATTTTGATGACTACTCCTCACCTCCCTCATACTCATAAATAAAGTCAAAGAATTCCATCTCCAACTAACTTTTTTTCTTCTTCCTTTCTTCTTTTCCTTGCTTTCTTCCTTTCCTCTCTCCGTCTTTTCATTCTCTCCTTTCTCATGCTTTCCTCTCCCTCCATTTCTTCCTTCCTTGTCCCCTTTTCTTCTATATTTGAATAATCTATAATAATTTGGACAACTCCAAATATTTTTTTTGCAGTTTAGGTGGCAAATCTTCATTAACTTTTTTTTCAATTGATGAGAATTAGTTATAGAAAGTTTTGGCCATTTTAAGCTGTTCTTCAGTAGGTAGCTTTCATCAGGTTCCGATGAGTTTTCTGTGAGACAAATGAAGTAAAAGTGATGCTAGGATATCTGTTTAGACACACATCTTTGTCGAAGTCATATGCATACTTCTGGAGATGATGTGATTAGAGGAACTGGTTAATGACAAAATAGCAATATTATTTTCATTTCAGAATTCTAGTCTCATTACTTTATAATATCCATTACAGAAAATGTTGTAGCACAGAATTGTAAATGGGAACTCGTTGTTCAGCTATGTGTAAATAAAGAATAGAAAAGGGGCATTTTATGAGGAATCGCGTTCTGCCTATTTGCATAATTCAGTGGCTGTCGGTCTGAAAAAGAATTAGCCAAGCTTAAATTGAGTCAAACTTGGGAAAAATAAGATGTGAATAAAATCAAAATATGATTCTCCCCTGTCCTGCTTTAGGCATCTGAATTACACTGTACTTAGCTGGTTCAAATGATCTTCAAAAGTTTGGCAGAAAACGTTACAGGCTGGTAAAATTGTTGATGTACTACTGACAGTTAAAAAGTTGTCTGGGTTTTTCAAAGAATGAATTTATTTGAGTCCAATATTGTTTGCAAGTATTAGCTTTAGAAAACTATTCATATATTGTAGAAGATAGATATAAGAATTACTACCTAAAAAACGCAGCCAGCATTTTAAGACATAAGGCTTCATTAAGATTCCTTAGCCTGTAAAATCTACACTTTGTATTCAGAGGAATTTTGAATTAATTAATTTCTGAAATAATTAATTCCTTTACTTGGTCATTGATTAAGCCCAATATTCAGTAGGTGCTCAATAAATATCTGCTATTAATGATGATGGAAACAATGGTATTGATGTTAATGAATGACCCCCTCAACTGATACACTGATATTTTTTTTTCAGACTGATGAAATCATTTTCCAGATGATTCTTGTCTTTCCCTTTTCCTGAAGCCTGTCTGCTATACATGCTGAGAAATTTCTGCCAATGCTCAGAGCTGCTGCCAGTCAACCGAGGGATAGAGGCAGCATTCTGTCCAGTTTGCTTACACTCATGTAGATAGATCGTGGATTGAAGGCAAAGTAGAAACTGGACAGAATAAATGATGTTTAAAAGTTAAAAAAAAAATAATGGGACTTTTGATATATACATTGTTATTGATGCCCCCTGTCCATAAGTGACCTCAAGGAAGAGTCTTAGCTATATACCTACCACTCACTTATCTATGTTTTTTCTTAACTGACTAATCATTCAATTAATATTTGTTGTTTGATTTGACTTGGTGGTAGGGCCCAGCACAAAGGATCTGGAAAAATCAGACATGCCCCTCCATGAACCAGAAAGATCATCATCAACCAACTGCATGGTCTGAATTTCAATGCACTCTCCCACCCAGGCTCAAACTAAGTTTTGGTTCTTACCATGTTCTTAACAAGATCAGACCAGAAAAGTCAGTTAATCAGTAGTTCCTTGGGCTCTATCCTGAAGAAATAATCTGAAACAGTGACAATGACTTATATACATCAAAGAATTACTCATAAAAATAGAAAATTGAAAAGTCTAGAGTTTAATTAACGTTAAGTATCAGTGTCAGTTCCCATTAATGTTCTTTTTCTTGTTCCAAGATCCAATTGATGATACCACTTTACATTTGTGAATTGTTAAGTAGAGAATTTTTATTTTTTTATATTGGACTAGGTTTGAATGTTTAATAGTACACTATGTTTACTCATCCCCTGTAGAAAATAAACACCAAAGCCTATTTTTGATTTGATTATTCAGCTAATAACTGTATGTTCAGCTCCAGCCTTAACCAGTGTTTTGGTCCAATATTGACTTGAATATTGAATTTATTAGAAATGCCTTGTAATGTTACCAAGTGATAAGTATCCTGAATATTTGAAGGATATTACATAGAATTGATTATTATATTGCATATAATATATGGTTTAAAACCTTTGTGATATAATATATATTAATTAAATCCTTAATATTCATAATTCTTTTATGCGTCCCATAACTCTAAGTTCAAGCTTTGGTTTTCATGTTCCTCTGCCCTCCCACAAGAGCAACGAGATGAAAACAAAGCAACAGACTTCATTCTTACTTTACAGGACAGAGTAGTTTAAAAATAAACTCAAACTGCTTCATTCAGCTTTGGGAGGGCAAATGTGCTCATAAATACTGAGTGACAGGACAAATGATTGTGCCTCCAGTGCCCTCTGTTGAGTGTGGGTCACTCGAGAACCTTAACTAAAGAACCCAGATGCCTGCTTCCAGTGAGGGTGGGCCAGGCTAGTCTCCTTCCCCTGAAAACAGCTGAAAATCCTGGTCATTGTTTTAAATGCATCAATGAGCTGACAGAGGTGTCAGAAATTTTCAGGCTATGGTCAAACGAAATTAGAGTTCTGAACCAGCACACAGGGAGCTCTTCCTGGGGGCACTCATCCTGAAAATTGGGGGTCTTCGCAGTGAGAGAAACAGTTGGGGAGACTAATAAGAGACAAAGGCTGCATGCTCAAGAAATAGTGAATCAGAAATGATCTTTTCCCTCAAAAAGCAACTGCCAGGTTACTGCAGAGCAGGGGCAAAATGGAGAAGAGTTCCCGCAGCCTATATCCACATTGCCTAGGCAGCCAAAACACCCTCAAATAGTGAAATTGGTGAAAGCAGCCCTAGATTGACAATGTCCCAAGATGCCCAGAAAAAATTATGCTCTCTCTTCAAAGGCCTCAGACTTTCCCAATGTCTCCAAGGCATGAGCGTCTTGCAAAGGTTTTTGCTGGTTCTGGTCGACCATGCCTAGAAACAGCAGAAACCTCAGAATAAACTCCCAGACATAACAGACACTGAAATCACAAGACACAGATTATAGGACAACTAACTACACTTACTGTGTTTTAAGCGGGTTGGGGGGGGGGGGGGACAAAATTGAAAATGTCTACAGGGTACAGGAAACCACAAACGTTTTCAATACAGGAGGAACATTTATAAAATTTGCAAAATTTGACCATATGCTGAGCTATAAAAAAGCCTTTTAAGTTTCAAAGGACTGCATTTGCACAGATAGTGTTGGCAGTGGGACCAAGCTAGGAATTAACAACAAAAGATAACTCGGAATCCCATGTATTTGGAAATGAAGTAATGTGGTTCTAAGGTCAAGAACAAGACAAGGATGTCCCTGTGACCTTCGAGAGGAGATTTTAGTATAAATTGGATATATTTGTTGAATGTTTGAGCATAAGGAATTCTAGCTGCCAGTAATTAGTAACGATGGTGTTACCTGTAGCCTTAGTTATGCAATCACTTCTCAAGAATGGTAGTCCTGAAAAGATTCACTGAGGTCTAGTAATCCTACTCTGTGAATAGTTGTAGGGAATTAATCCACAAAAGAGAAAAAGCTATATACGCAAATAATGAATTTCCATGTTACTTAGTTACTGTTAGTGGAGAGCTGGGCCTGCATTATCCACTGCAGTAGAAGATCCCTGTGTATATTAGCACGACAGGATATAGTACAGCCGATACTATTATGATTGGGAAGATTATAAACCCAATAAAGCAAATACAAAATTGGTCCTCTTACAATATGTAAGAATCAGGAGTGTTCACAGAGCCTAGAAGACATCCTCGAAAAGTTAATTTTTTATAGGTGAGATGAAAAGATTTTTTAATTTTGAAAACAGATTTTATCATATTTGTGTGGTTAATTTTTAAAAAATCTATTTGATATGCAAGGCCTCCATCACACAATTTATAACCCATCCCCTTCTCCTTGATACCACTTCTCTTATCCACTGAGCTTAGAGAAGTCAACTAATACATAACACTGCCCCCCCTCACCCCTCTGCCCTCTTCAAAAGACAGATTCTCTTGTAAAGCAAACAAGAATCTCCTTGGCCTCTGATGTCTAAACAGTACATTCCTGGGTCCTCACATTTTCTGGTCATGTGGCCAGTGATTGAGTCTTTGCTTAATCAGCCCCATACGTTTTCATGGTGTCTGACTGTCTTAGGGCGTCTGCAGAGGGGAGACCACGTATTGAGAAAGCACTAAACACTGTGAAAGGTTCAGGACCACTGGGAAGAACTTTGGAAAGGATCCAATGGATGCTATTTCTTCTTTTGCCTTTCTCCCTCTTCTAAGCCAGGCTGAGTGGAGAGCTGATTGAATTTTCAGTCTGTTTTCACTGGAAAGCCTTGGTAAAGCTGACCCCAAAGGCAGTGGTGCCAAGAGCTCCCAGCTTCCACTGTGGAGAGAAGGCAAATGTGCAGGACCCACCACGATCAGAATGGATGCAGAGCTGG